CCCCAAAACCCCAAAACCCCGAGCATTGAAATCATAATAAAATCTTCTAAAAATTAAGCAAAGAATATTAAAGAAATCAAAATGAGTGAGAAGTTTACCAATAAAAGTAGTAACAATCTAAGCAACTTCTAGGGAGAATATGATGATAATGAATTAAAAGTAAATAAAGATAGAAAATTTTATAGATATTTAACAGAAAAATTTGTCTCAAAACGATGAGGATGAACCTGTTGAAATAGTAGGAGCTGTTAAATTGATGGATGGTGTATTTTTGGGAGACGCAATATGTGCAGAGGTAATTTAAATTAGTTTATTTATTGAAAGGACATAGAGTTCTTAAGATTAAATAAAATAACTTATATTTTGAATTGTGCTGGAGACCAAATAGATAACTATTTCAAGGATTATGACATTACTTATCATACACTCTACTGGAAAGAATTCAAGGTAAATTATTAAGTTTATTTATAATGATTAAAAGCCCAATGAATTGTCGTAGCAAACAACTCAAAGCATTTGTGATTTTGCATCTCAAGCACTGAATGAATTTCATGGAATTCTGATTCAATCCCTAAATGGAAAAAACCGATGCGTAGTTGCTGCTCTAATTATTTTTATGTCAAGGTACAGATGGGGTTTGATAAAGGCTCTAGAATATATGAATTCAAAAAAACCTGGACTAGAAATGACACCTTCGATCCTAAAAAAGTTGTTATAATATGAATCACGTCTAGAACATGATAGTATAAAGTTACTAACAAAAGATTGGGATTAAATGTACATGCAAGGACTGCACTATGATGAAGAAGTCATTCTAGTAAATTCTTATAAAAATTCAGTAAAGGGTGATAGCAATCTCATATTCATTCCAAAAAAGCCTTCTATAAGAAAAAAACTAGGAATTTGATGGAAAGATAATAACGAAGTTTTTACTTTCGAAAAAGATGCACCACATTTAACTTAATAGTCATAGATGTAGCCAATTAGTGATGGAGTGAAGTATCCACCATAATACAGCACTTTTGGAAATTAAAACAGTAATAATGACTTAAATGAAATTCAGTATAGTAAGAACTATAAAACTTCTAATGATACAAAAATATAAAAAGAACTAGACTATCAATAAAGAATGAAGCTTTTTATGGAGGATAATCACAATAGTGTGACTTTTCAAAATTCTCCAGATATAGCCGGCAGATAATATCACGAGTAAGCTTATGATTTTGAAATATCAAAAGAACAGTCAGAAGTTCAAAATATACCACATAATAACCTTTAGATGACATTAACTGAAAGGCTGAAAAAGTTGGATACAGATGAAATGAGATCAAGCGGAATAGTTTTAAGCAAAAATTACAATGAAAGTATGAAAAGCTCCAGTTTAAAATTATAAAAAAATGATAGCTTAAGATTGTCAGCAACTTTTAAAGGCTCAATAAATGAGAATGCTGATGAAGACTAAGTTTTAAATTCTCCCAGGATACATAAATAAATGAGCAATGGTAATTAAGAAAATAGATCATCTGTAAACACAAGCTAAAGAGGGCCGTATTACAATCCGATAAGAACTTCGTAAGATCATACTGCTAGAATGTCAATAAATGTCAAAGAAAGAGATAGTGTTGACATTAAAGATGCAATAAATGAGTTAAAACAACAAGAGCAGCTTTATTAATTAGCAGAATAAGCAAAGCACTCATACTTCAAAAAGCCAAAAAGCAAGTTTAGTGATACAATTTTAGCTACAGAAAATCCTTTTGAAATAAATAAAAATAAAACAAAGATTGAAGTAAGTCAGAATAAATTTGAAATTGAAAATCCTCAGGATTTTTTAAATAATGAGGCATCTTCAACATAGCAAGAAGTTGATCAAGATTGAGGTGAATTCAGTGATATTGATATCGAGGTTGAAGATGTCATTCCATCTCTTTCTTAATAATCAATCTAAAAGAAGAGATTGAATGAGGCAAATCTTCGAACTCTAAAGGGAAATCAATAATTTATTCCTTAGACTCCCAGTCTCAAAGATGTTGAACTAATGTCGATTACTTCAAAAGCTGATTCTGTAAAATAAACATAGATGAACAGTGATGCCAAATCATCTTATCTAGATGTAATCAAAGAAGAATCAGACTCTCGAAGAAGTAGATTTTATAATCAGAGTATATCTAATATTTACAACAATGGTAGTTCGAATCTCAGTCAGGATAATAAAAGTGTTATCTTGGATTTTAACTAACCTAACTTCGATAAACAAACTGTTAAGAGTGACCAGACTAATAATGCATCCAAGTCCCTAATATAATAGACAAATCAGTACAATAATGGACGACCTTTAATAGGCAATAAAAATCTACCTCCAATGCCCTAAGCAAAAGATTATTAGAATATGAACTCATTTTAAAATCTACCAGAAAGTATAGCAGTTTAAGAGGAGAAAATGAAGCAGCAATAAAACCTAAGAATGCAAACAAGACTTCATTTTCTTTAATAAAAAGAAGAGCAAAGGCAGCTCTACTTTAATCAGAGAACTTCATCTCTAACATCTCATATAAATTAGCAGCAGTAGAATTAACAGTAAATAAACATGAGCAAGATTTAGCAATAACAATAATAGTCATATTTAATTCCTTAAGTAAATCTCAATGTCACCTAGAGAAATTCTTCATAAATACTTAATGCTTCAGCTAGTATTATAAAAAATAACAGATCAATTAGTCCAATGATAAATAGCAACAATCTCTAAACTTACTAGAACAATGTTCAACAACTTACTGATAGGAATATATAATAAGCATAAAGTTAACCTTATTAAAATGTGAACAATAAAATGAGGACGATTTAACCCTCATAAAATTCTAATTACTAACTTTACTAAAATAATAAAAACAATCAGTTAAACCTCCCATAAGTAGTTGATAATAAATTCAAGCATTACAGTGATAACTCTAATACGCTTGATCATGGAAGTATTTATAAAAATCATCTTGCTGAAGAATATTCACTATCCAAAAGGCAGTTAGAACCAATAAGAGATTTGAATACTAGTATTTAAGGATATAATTAGTAAAAATATCATGAATATTGATTTATGAATACCATGGTGAATATATACACTTAACTTTGCTATTTTCATATTTCTATATCTTCATCTTGCGGGGTTTTGGGGTTTTGGGGTTTTGGGGTTTTGGGG